CGAAACCCTAAGAACACGACAGCATCCTAACGTAGCTCTAACATCAAAACCTCGCGTACCGAAGACGACTATAATGACGCAATGGGAAAGCATCGGAACAAGCTGACGTAGCCCTTTCCCGACGCCACGGCCTAACTGCGACGCTAGCCGATGAACTAGTGACCTCAATGTTCTTATCGATAACGAGAATATGACAACTCTCGTCGACACCGGAGGCGAGTATTTTGTCATCAGCGGACCGTTCGCCATGAAGTTCAAGAAAGTGAAGACCACCTGGGAAGGACCCGAGATCCGCACAGCTAAAGGTCATTCAGTAACACCAGCAGGAATCTGTACAGGGAAAGTTTCGATTAGCAAACGGATTTACTCCGTAAGTTTCGTAATTCTACAACTTTGCTCCAGAGCCATCATTCTTAGTATCAAGTTCTTAAGCCTTCATAGTGTAGTGATCAACTTTAGAGTAAAGTCGAGAACGCCATCAAGGAAAAACGCACTGCCACCGCTCGCGCCATCAGGAAAGCACGCCTTGAATGTGCTGGAAAAAACGGTATCCATTCCCCCTCGCTCCAGATTCAGAATTTGCGCCGGCACAGTTACAAAGAAATATGCAAGGCATAGTTGAAGGCGACCTGTACCTGTTGATCAACCACGAGATTTATAACACCAGAGGACGAGCCGAGCTGCGAGGAGGGAAAATTATAGTGAAGCTTTCGAACTTCGGCAACACATACAAGCACGTGAGCGAAGACACTACGGTTGCCTACATCGAAGACCACCTAATGGAAACCAACAAACCTTTCGCCCTCGCAGAGTCTACCGAACCTGCTACGACGAACGAGGTATGCTAACTGAATTTCCAGGTTAAGTCAAGCTTTCCAACGGCATAAGCATGAACAGGTCAGAACTGTACTCCAATAATACAAGGAAGGGTTTTCCGACATCATCGAAAATTCGACAGACCCCGGTCGCAGAATGTCACATCCTCACAGAAGAGAGTTCCTGGCCACTCCATCAGAGCCCGTACAGACTGTCGACGCAAGAACGTGAGGCCATTCATAAGCAGCTTGACGAAATACTAAGCGACGACATTATCAAGCATTTAAATATTCTTTAGCGACAAGAGAAGACAGACGTGAGATGGCGTCGAAGGCGGCCGACAAGGCCGTGCCGATCTCGCCACTTTATTCGACGCCGGAAGCGGAGCCACGGCGGATGTCAGCGTCCGACACGCAAGGTGCGTGAGTTCGTTTTAATCATCTCGCAGCTCGAGCTAGCATCAGCTGCACGAGAGGCGCGGCGTGGTGATCAAGAATTGATGGTGGTGATGATGGCACTACAATTCCATGGGCGTCATCCGTTGTGCGTCGGCCATCAAAGCCTGAACAATATCACGAAGGAGGACCTGTACCCTCTCCCTCGGATAGATGACGCCCTTGATCGACTTCACCATGCGAGGTACTTTTCTTTGATAGGCCCCAAGACCAGCTGTTGGAAGATTGAAGTCAACGAGGGAGACCGAGAAAGGGGAGCCGTCATAACACTGGATGGCTTTTCGAGTTCAAGGTCATGCCCATTGGTTTTTGCTCGGCTCCCGCAACTTTCCAACGCGGCATGGATTCAGTACTGGCTGGCTCGAGTTGTCAGACTCGAACTGCGCACGTGAATAACGCCGAAGTGTTTTCTTCAAACATCACCCTATCGGAAAAATTGCCATGGTGGATATTGGAAAACATGGTGGGCGTAGTGGAAATAATAGTGGGCATGGTGGAAATATTAGTGGGCATGGTGGAAATTATGATGGCTATGGTGGGACGTGGTGGAAAATATGGTGGTTATGCCGGGACATACTGGGTTGTATGGTGTACAGATGATGGGTAAAGTGGAAATGATGGTGGAAAGCAGAGGCTAGATAGTGGGCAATAATGGGGCACTCTGCCCACCATTGCGATAATGCTGGGAAGCCCTAAGCATATGGTGGGTGGTGCTTATCATGGTGGGCTACATGGTGTACCAAGCTGAGAAACTCTTCCCACCATTGCGATAATGCTGGGAAGCACTAAGCAGATGATGGGTGCTGCTTGTTATGGTGGGGCACATGGTGTACCAAGCTAAGAAGCTCTGAACACGATAGCGATAATGCTGGGAAGCAGTAAGCAGATGATGGGTGGGCTTATAATGGCGGGCAATTTATATAGTGTACCAAGCTGGGATCTGTACACTACATGTTCTACCACCATGATTTCCACCAAAGGTTAGGCCTACTGACCGAGCCCGTACAATTGTGTTATCCTTGCTTCTGGGTTTCAGAATACACGATTACGACGATTAAGTATGACAATACAGTGCAGCCATATGGCATCAATTAACCTAAATGAAGCATTTTTCATTGTGTATGGTGTCAGCTCAAGAAGCAACAACCATCGATGCGACGCGATTAAAGCACTCCCAGAGAACGTAATTAAGTGTCCTCTCACCGACAGCCGCCGGTCGCACTCGCCGGCACTTCTCTAGCTTTTGTACGAGAACTCAGACGTGGCAATTCGTGTGCTTGGTGAACCATTATGATAGCGTAATGTTTCCGGCACACTGCATTCGTTTTGGTCAAGCCGTTATGTAGTTGTTGCTTTAGCGAAAGAGCTACAGCATTGCGCTGGCGCGGCCGCCCTCTACATTTTGCGAAAAGCATCTCAATACTCAATCGAATGAATTAGGCGGGCGTATCTATGAAATGAGCCTAGAAGCGTCATAAAGCGTGAGCAGATGTCGCCCTTTAAAACGAGCGCGAAACGGATAATAAACTTGGCAGACCCCACCGGTAAACTGTTGCTGCTCCTCAGTCCACTTGGTTTTTTTTTTCTTGAAATTGTGAATTGTAAAAAAAAATAGCACTAGTGCCAATAACATAGTGGCAATCGTTACAGGCCGCAGTTGCTTGTGTTTATTAAAAGTGCAATTTTTAGTAGCAGGTGTACATCTTGTCCTTGTTGTGTACACGACAAACATGACTTAAGTTGAATCTTAAGTTTGTATGCTAACTGAACATTTAACTTGCAGTCACCGTCATGTTGGTGTGGCGCAGTGGTTAAATAAAGAAAAAAAAAATGGTGTGGCGCAGTGGTTAGCGTCTTCGAATGGGAATCCACAGGTTGCACGTTCGATCCTCCGTGGCGCCTTGTTTTTTTTTTTACGGAACGGGTGTTTTATATACCGTTTTTATAGAATTCTTTTTTATTTTTTGTGGCAGCTCGTCACGGTGATTCTGACGTCATTTCGCGCTCAAGTGTTGCCGGCACTGCAGCACCCACCATACCCACCATGCGCCATGGTGGGCGTTTCCCACCATTCACCCACTACATTAATCAACTATAATGGTGGGTGGTGGTTTCCACCATGCCCACCATTCGTTTTTTTTCAATAGGTATTCATTGCAATGAATACCTCCAGTGCCTTGATGCTGCACTTCAAGCAATCAAGACCTCTGGACTCAACCTCAAGCCAAAGAAGTGTTCTTGAGCCACGCGATAAGCCAGTCTAGTGTAGGCCCCGACAACCGCCATCGCTGCATTCTCTCCAACCGCCAAGAAAGCCACCCATAAATTTCTCGGCCTCCGTACCTATTACAGGTGGTTCGCTGAAAACTTCGCCCAGATCGCCGAGCCACCCCGGCGCAGTGGTCTAGTGGCTGAGGTACTCGGCTGCTGACCCGCAAGATGTTGGATCGAATCCCGGCTGCGGCGGCTGCATTTCCGATGGAGGCAGAATTGTTATAGGCAGAAATGCCCGTGTGCTCAGATTTGGGTGCACGTTAAAGAACCCCAGGTGGTCGCAATTTCCGGAGCCCTCCACTACGGCGTCTCTCAAAATCATATGGTGGTTTTCAGACGTTAAACCCCAGATATCAATCAATCGGATCGGCGAGCCACTCACCAGCCCTAACTGGTTCAAAGTGGTATTAAAGTGGGCAACGCCGCAGGAGGAAGCATTTCAGGAACTAAAATGACGCCTGCAGACGCCTCCGCTAATTGCACATTTCGATGATTTCACCGACGAATTTAACGAATTCAATGGGACCATATAAACTATCAATCACCTTTACTGCATTGCGCTTGAGAACAAATGATGTTCACCCGACGTGACGCCTTTATCGCAGAAGCTGATATGTTATGTTTACAAAATTTGATAGTCATCACTGCATTCCAAGTTGACGCTTTACGAACAATATATTTCGTTATGAAAATTTCTATTGAAAAAACAGAGAGGTGTTATTGAGTAATGACAACAGGTGGGATTGAAAATACATGACGGTTCAAATAAAATAGCGTTGAAGAAATTGTTGATCAGTATTGAAAATTGGCCCATGACTTTCAACTGAAAGCCATCATTTAACTCGATATAGATTTATCATTGAGAGAATATGAAATGGCGACGAAAAATACGTTGTGAATCAATTGAAATATCACAAACGCAATTCTTTACAAGCATAGAAAATCGGCCCATGAGTTTCAAATAAAAGCCATGAGTGGTTCATCAATGCGAAGAAAAAAATTAATATGCACCACACTCGGGAGCAATTTCTCGCCATTAATGCGGTAGATATTATGTCCTTAGGTAAAGCGAATACCATTAGTATCACAATAACTTACATCTGCAGACCACCCGAGAACTGGAATCAAACTCCGGACCTAATTTACGTGAAGCAGATGTCTTACTCAAGGCACAACAGCGCCATAACAAAAAAGAACGACAACGCCACCGCATGTAGGCGAGTCTTTTTGCGGGTTATATAACTACCAAACGGCGTTTTGCAAAGCGTTGTTGAAACTTTGTATTTTATTGTGCCATATGCATTTGTTTGCGCATGTATTTGACCAGCGAATAGTTTGTAGGGCTTCATGAACTCAAGACAACAACGGTGAGTGCTTTCGGCTTCAACTTCGGTTCGTGGTGCACCGTTCTGCAAGAACAATTAACGCGTGTTCGTGGGCCGTTTTAGCGCTTACCTTGAATGGTGGGTGTTTCGGTCACCGAAATTCACGGATACCAGGGCGACGAGGCTGTGTTCGGCTGTCGACACCTATAGTATGTTTTTTGCACGTGCATCTGCTGTAAGCAATTTCGCTTATTGGTGTAGCGAGGTACATGCGTGTTAGTGATAGCAGCCTATTGTCAGCTGTTTGAAGACAATGCACTTTCGCACGAAAACGTTGCATGGTTATTTTAGCCTGCATACTCTAACATTTGCGTTTTCGTTCGCGCGAACTGCCGCGAGCTGCACGCTGGGGCAGCAGCGCCTTTTTAGGATTTCGACGATTACTTAATTCCGTAACGAGAACCTATGTGCAATATTTCACGATATAGAGCCGTTTTTACTCACTTCCAGTGTTTAACTGATCCTATTTAGGGAGATTGGCTACTCTTACATTTATTCAGCATCACACCACTGTTCAAGTGAATGCCAAAACACGCGCCAAGCTCAAGTATGACACAAAAATTAGCGGCGGACAGGTAGGTCTTTTTCCAAATAAAATAACCTTCTGCACATCTCTTTCACAAACGTGCGCATGCTGATGGGGTCAAGAAATGGTGCAGAATGAACCTCAATATCTCTTTTGTTACTTCGTGCAGTTGCTCTTTATAAGATGGGGTTTTACAGCTGGTACAACATCTCAACAGTAGTACAGTGGTTGTCTTGGTCGTGGCTCACTGTTACAAATCCATGCTGGAATAAGAGAACCGTACTCAATATTCAATAGAGTGAGCAAATGTCGGTGGCATACGCTCCCCTGCTGACTTCTGCACCTGACGTCTGTATACTCCATGTTGAAGTTCATCATCAAACTACGCAACCACTAATCAAACATCAATCAACCTATTTTCAATTTTGGGCTTTCTCGGTCTCGTTGCTTTCCATTTGTTTGTTTTTTGCCATGCTTACATAAAATCATCAGTTCTATTTGTTTTGTAGAACACGAGCATCAGCATATATAGGCCAGTGCTTCAATAATACTGTCACGCATGCACTATAGAGCGGCTGCACCACGAACACCAAACTTCCCAGCTTCCGCAGTCCTCGCCTCTGTTTTCTTTTCCCCCCTCCTTCACGCATGCGCGCTGGGGAATATGAGCAGGCGCGCGTCTCAATTTTTTTATGAAACAATGCTTACGAAATATCTCTTCAAAGGTTTTTTTCATAAAAATTAAACAATAAAAATTTTATGGCAAGGTGCTCCACATAATTATTGTTTACGAAATATTTCTTTCATGGTTTTTCGATAGGAATGAGAAAATACAGTTTTATTCCATATTGCTCAACAGAAATATTGTTTACGAAATACTTTCTCAAAAGTGTTTCAATAAATATGAGTTAATGACACTTTTATTGCAAAATGCTCAACAGAAATATTGTCGACGAAGTATTGAATCAAGTCAATGAGTACTGTAGAACCGTTGATTATCAATAGAGTCAATTAGTCGATCACTGTCTGACACTGTAAAATCAACGGTCATTTTCATAAGAGTTCCAACTGTAAAGCAGTTGCGAGACTTGGTCGTGGCTGTGTGGTAGAAAAATCGGCAGATTTCACGTACAGTGGAAATTGATGGTATGCGAAGCACGAATGCGGAAGGTTGATATGTCACTTCAACATCAGCACAACGGTGCGAGGCAGAGGTAATTTATTCATTCCATGTCATCATTATGTTTAGACCTTTTACCTTCATCGTCTACTCACGTCACGTAATACCAAATTTGGTTGAGCTAGCAAAACGGCCATGAGGGCGCTATGAGGTTAGCATGTAGTTATGTTTTACATGACATGCAAATCGTGGTTATCATGTTTGCACCTGTAATTTACATTCGTCGTACGTTCACGCCACGTAAAACCGAATTAGGTATATGTGAAACTAGTGAAAAGGCCGCGAGCACGCTATGAGCGAGCATGTCGGAGCGCTCTACATGACACGCACGTCATGATTACCATGTTTGGATGTGTAATCTACTTTCATCGTCTATTCCCGCGTTATACCAAATTTGGTAAATATGCAGCTAGCGAAGCAGCCGCGAGCGCGTCGTGAGCATGGTATGTTGTGATGTTCTTCATTACACGCTTGTCATCAATATCATGTTTGCAGCAGTCATTTAACTTCGTCATTCATTGACGTCACGTAACACCAACTTCGGTATATAAGCACTGCGTCTGCCTCTCTTCGTGACGGAAGGACGCCGGGCGCACTCAAACACGCATGCGTAAAAGTATTGCAGCGTGGCACACGCCTGCGAGTATATGACGGGCACATCTGCGCCTGGCGTGGTATCGCCGGCGTGACGCAAAAAAAAAAAAACGCCAGTGAGCAAGCGCGCCGGGACATGTCGAAGTGTATTCGTGCATTGGGTCTGCCATGTAGTCATGTTCTTACATGACACGCATGTCATGATTATCATGTTTGCGCCAGTCACACACCTTCGTCTTGCATTCCCGTCCTGTAATACCAAACGTGATATTGTTATGGAGATAAAGTAAAGGAAGAGGAAGGGCACCAGCAGCTGGCAGGCGCGCGAGTGTGCCAATCAGCCATTGTGACGCTTGCCCGTATTTTCCCTCTGTATATGCATTTTGTACAGAAGTCGCCAACCCAGTTACAATATATGCAAAGCTAGCAAAATGGCTGCGAGTGCGCTTGAACGCCGCATTAAGTGATGTTGTTACATGACACGCACCTAATTATCATCATGTTTACACCAGTCCCATACCTTCGTCATCGATTCACATTCCGTACGTAATGTGAAACTTCGTATAAATGAAGCTAGCGAAACGGCACCGAGCGCATGATGAGTGTGGCATGTAGTTGTGTTGTTACATGACACGCATCTGATTATTATCATGTTTGCAACAGTCACACACCATCGTGATCCATTCACGTCCCGTAATACCAAATTTGTTATATGTGAAGGTAACAAAACGACCGCGAGCTTATCAAGAGCGTGGCTTGTAGACATGTTTCTACATGACATACATTTTATGATTATCATGTTTGCATCACTCACATACCTTCTTCACATACATCCATTCACGTCCCGTAATAACAAGTTTGGTATATGCGAAGCTAGTGAAACGGCCGCAAGCGCATCATGAGTGTGGCATGTAGGCATGTTGTTATGTGACACGCATGTCATGATTTTCATGTTAGGATCTGTCGCTTATTTGCCATACAGTCATGTCATACCATACTCTTTTTGCAACATGTCATGTGAACGAAACCACCGCATGACCAGCAAGACCATGAAGTGTATATCATGACATTCACGACATACATGTCATGATTTTCATGTCATGGCTGGTGACTTATCCTCGTCATACAGTCATGTTATGCATACCAATTTTCCTATTGATAACATTATCCAAATGGCGAGGAGGGCTGCAAGTAGTAGGGAATAGATAGACAGATAGATAGATAGATAGATAGATAGATAGATAGATAGATAGATAGATAGATAGATAGATAGACGCTAATATATATGTATATATTATCTTCTAACATATTATCTGAACCACCCCCCTTACACAATGCCCCTCGAGGGCTCAGTAAGGTACTGTAAATAAATACAAAAATAAATAAATAAATAAATAAATAAGCATAAAAGTGCCTGCGGTCTGCAGAGAAATGCTTTTCATATAATATCTTTAGCATTGGTTGCTACCAATACATTCATTCATAGTAGACACTTGCAGCGCCATGCTGAAGCACAAAAACGCAACTGTCAAAGTTCGCGCTTGATTTGTGCATACCTGTGCGTTCTTTTAGAGACTTATGATTTCTACCTTAATCACAACGTCGTTTATAGTTGTACCATTTATACAGGGTCTATCACAAGCCTCTCTGTACACTCACAGAATTATTGAAACATATCGAAGCTTATGCCCTCCCACTCTCTGGTGCGGGAAGGAAAACATATGCACTTGAAGATGAAGAGAAAAATAAAAGTGAAATTTGCAAGTACAGTTTGATTGCGACATGTTGTCAGGCAAAAATATAGCTAACAAACAACTCTCGAACAGTGTTCTATAGATGGTAGGTTTGTTTTTACTTTGGTTAAAAACTGTACTATGGCTGTAAACGTATACTATGACGAAGCCAGTAGGCAGTTATTCTTCCCAACAAGGAAAAAGCTTCAATTAATGCGACGTTCGCAATCACACTTTCATCGGACAGTTTACCTACATCGATCACCGTAATCAAAACTTTTGCTCACGGCAGGGGTACTGCGGCTGGAAACGCCCTGCTTCTTTTTTTTCCCTCGCACTTGTACTGCACGTGGCGCAACTATGGCAACCATTTTATGCCTGTCTACTGGCATAGGTGAGGGCGACATAGGAGCTGTGGCAGGACGGGCGGGAAGCCTTGACAATCACCGCTCACCCGTCTGCAAGATTGGAGAAGTGCGTGCGCGAACTTTCTCGCGAGGTTAACTCCCGATTACGGACGACCGCCGTATGGTCGCAGTGTCTGTAGCGGCACCGTTGGAACACCGTAGACATTTCCTCGTAGTAAAAACTTGCTGTGCGAGATGGTGATTACTAGAGACCGGATTATAAAGAGATGCATATATTGTTCCTTGTGTTGCGCTCGTGTCACTTGAATATATGGGCACTAATGAGTGGTTAAAAAGGGTGATAGTGTTTTTTGTAGTGCAGATTATTGCCTACTTCCATGCTTGTGCCTAAATTTTTATATTTGCCTACAAATGCACATATTCAATATCGGTGCCTATATTAACACTATTCGCATAAATTTCAGTACAGTTGGATATTGGTATTTATGTTACCGGGCGAAATTGGGCTTTCGCAACTCTATGCGTAGCAAAATATACTCTACCTCGGAAGTTTCTTTCAGCACTGTCAAACTACAAGGCGCCTTAACCAATAGGATGGCCGATTAGCCTATATACATATATTCATCCGCGTCACGTCGTCTGCTCGGCATTTGCTTGGCGGCTGTTCACTTGCGTAGGGAATAGGAGGTGCTTCTCTGCAGCAGCAGGATGATGGAGAACGAACGCGAAAC